GAGCTACGATTGGAAGAAGTAGAGACCACAGCAATGCCGGTGTCACGATAAATATGATAAGACTACGACGACGACGACGATGATGATGAAGAAGATGATAATGACTGAGACCATATATGATGATGATGATGATAATAATAATGAATCTTGAATACGGCGTAGCACAAATTAAATCTGTTGATGAAATATTGAATTTCAACTTTGTTAATCGAGAGTTATTCGGTATTCCTAGCATCGACGACGATGATGATGATGATGATGATGATGATAATGATGATGATGAGATGATAATGATGATGATGATGATGATGATGATGATGATGGTTATGATGATGATGAATCTTAAGAGCGGCCAACTCAAATAAAGCTATTGATGAAATGTTGAATTTCAAGTTGTTAATCGAGAGTTGCCTCGGTATTCCTATCATAGATATTGATGATGATGAAGATGATAATAATGATAGTGATGATAATGATGATGATGATAATGATAATGATAATAATAATAATAATAATAATAAATAATAATAATAAAAATAATAATAATAATAATGAAAACGATTAGGCATATGTGTTCTGATAGATTACAATGATGCGGACAATCAAAGCAAGGTTGTTCACCAAAGTAATTATTTAATGAGAGTTTCCACGTTAACAAAAGTGCACAGCAACTAGTATACCTGGCTCATATCAGAATGCTAAAGCACAGACATCAAAACCCTGATTTCTATTTATTTATTGATATTAGCGTTCTTAAGAGCGGCGTAACTCGAATAAGCTATTGATAAAAAATGTCGAATTTCAACTTGTTAATCGTGAGTTACGTCGGTATTCCTAGCATCAACAATAATTAATCCAATGTCCACACTTGTAGAATACGGAATTGAAGCCGATTGTTATTCTAAGATAAAACAGGATAGTACGAGGAACCGTAAGACCTCGCTTATAATTACGCAGTATATCTATTAACGCTCATGGATTCCTATTATGCACATGTGTACATTTGTGCAACTTAAGTTTACGTTAAAATGGAGATAAGGCCTACATACAAATGAACTATAACAAGCAAAAATAATTTGTAATAATACGCCTAAAATACTTTGTACTGTAGTACTCAGGTGAATCAACCTTAAACAGGGCGTCACGATGTGACGTTGCCGTAAACGTTTGGCTGACTCATCCCCATTGTTATCAACTTGATGGACGGTTTGCGTAAGTTTATGTTAAAGTTCGTTTACCAGATTAATACTGTTAAAAAATATAATTAAAATACCAGGTTATTTGAATATTATTGTTGTCATTAGACTTAAATGTAATCATATGATGATGAATTTCAAATGATAGCATTGCGTACTGACTGTACATTATCACACATTTGCGAGTTGTGTTGGCATGGAATATTCAAATACATGGAGATCAATAGAATAAAAAGGGGGAAAAACGAAACACTCACTGTAGGCCCACTGTATGAAAGATTGCAAAGGGTGCAATATTTTTCAAATTTTATTTGCATTATTTGTTTTGTATGATGTTCGAAAAAGCATATATTTCGTGAATCAAACCATTTTGCTATGATAATAGTTGACTTATCAATAATAATAATAATAATAATAATAATAATAATAATAATAATAATAATAATCATAATAATAATAATAATCATAATACTACTAATAATAATAATAAATGTAATAAATTACTATTATTATTTTTTATGGTAATATATGTTATTAATAATCATAATTAATAGGTTTCTAGGTAAGGTGTTACCGTTATCATCTGTTTCACTCTCATATCATATATCACACATTATTTCAGATATTTTTTTATGTCAATCGCTCATAAATCAATTGATTGATTGATTGATTGAAAGATTGATCGATTGATTGAAATATTGATTTGTTGAAAGATTGATTGATTGATTGATGATTGATTGATTGATTGATTGATTGATTGATTGATTGATTGAAAGATTGATTGGTTGGTTGAAAGATTGATTTAGTGATGGATAAATTGGTTGATTACTATAAATATGCTACAAATTACGGCTAAAAGTTTGTCAATACAACCAAATAAATTGCAAATTGCTGTAACTAAAGCATACGGTGCTTCATATGATTTATAATGGCGTATCTTTCTCAGCATAGCTTTACTTTTACTTATCATGCCATAATGACAATATTGCAATTTCTATACGTCGTTCACTGTTTTTGTCGGCTTTATACAGCTCAGACATACATTATCTCTGTAGAACTGTCTAACCAAATCGGCTAATCTTAGGCCTAGGCTTTCTGTTTTGACCGTGATCATATTCCGGAAATCGTCAGCTGTTTGGTGATGCGTCTGCGTCTTAACCGGAGCTTAACAAGGTGTTAAAGAATATTACCCACAAAACATTCGATTCGTTCACTTTCAAAGAACACAATTTCTATGAATGAAAATTCACTTAGAAAAAAATAGCTTACGCATTTTCTAGGAACTCATTGAACGTCTGTTATCTGAACCATAAAAGTCACTGACTCGATGGTTGGTTTTTTTACTACCTAGTTAGTTTTTTTTTCTTTTTTTATTTTATGATTTAATTATATTATTGATATTATTATTGATATTAACTATATTCAATGGCATTCAACTAAATTATTGTAAAAGTTCGTTTCGCATCATTTGTCAAAAGTTATACAGTCGATCATCCTACTCGGGGTTTTTTTTTTGTTATTTTTGTTTGTTTGTTTGTTTTTTGTTTTTGTTTTTTTGTTTTGTTTTGTTTTGTTTTGTTTATTGGGTATAGGAATGTTGCCCATCGATCCAGGTTTCTGTTTACTCATGGAGCAGTCATATCATAAAATAAAACATCGGGCACCGACGAATCTCCTCACTGTATGATTGCTTGATGATACGTGGTTTGTTTATTGTTGATGGCCGACAGTTTGAGCGGATCAACATTAAAAAAACGATCCGCTGCACGCGCCTCATCAGGCGACATCCTCTTTGGAATCGCCTCCGTCGACGCAGTGTGAACCCGATTTTAATTTCATACACTTCCGGCCATCTTCATCTAAAGTCGGGCTTTCACTGCACCTGAAGGTCGTCGGCCGACACGATTCAATGGAGAAGGCAACGCCACGACGCTCAACCGATCGTTTTAATGAAGATCCGTTCAGACGGCAGGCGACAATTAGCAAACAACTTCGCGACATCTAGCGCTCACATGGAGCAGAGTAAGATTCGTCGTCCGCCGGTAGTACGACCGTCGTACACCGTCGTACGACGCCGTGCGAGCCCGGCTTAACAGCAATTGCAACTGACTAGCAAATTACAAAAAATAATATACGCGATGATTAATTAATTGTTATCATACTGATCTTACATAGTGCGTAATGTCAAGGTTATTATATTAGCATTGTTATTGAAATTTGGAACACATAATGTGTATAACATACTTAGCTCCTGTGGATGTCTTTTGTAATATTGCAGCTAATCAGCGAACGGAATTCGAACAAAGTACACAACTTTTCTCAAGGGTGGGAGTGGAAAGATGCACAACGTGAATAAATTGATTTGCCAAAGGATACAAATTAAGTACCCCGTCTCAGTCTAAAAGGCTAAATATTTCAATATAAAGCCCGAAGCATATTAGCCCTGTGCCACATGATGTTATGTGATAGTCCTACTCATTAATAAGCAAAATGATAGAGATTGATTTATCAGAACATACTATACTTTATTTTAAAACAATAGTCGTGTAAGCCATTTAGTAGTGGATTGGCATATTATCTCTCAGTCGGTCACGAACCTATGTGCCTCTTGGTGTATGGTGCCGTTTTGTAAAGGATAAGATAATATTATACAGAATTTTTATAATTATGCGTGCTCAGAAACAGCACTGAATAGTCTCTAATACACATATCGTCGAAACAGTAACAGCGAAACTCATAACGCAACGGTAATTATGAATAGGCCTACCAGTCCAACCCTGACGTCATTCATCATTTCACCCTACGGAATAAAAGGAAGTGGGGGATATAATCAGAATCTTCATAACTAGACTAGGGCCCTTGGTTATTTCGCCATACCCTTCGTTATGTTTCCATTTAAATTAAATGAAATTTGACGAAATAAATGAAATCAAATGGAATGAAATTACTCTTTTTATTTACTTGATTTTATACAACTCAACGCACAGGAAATATATAATATACTTGACACATGAAGCGGCTGCATCACCTTAACCACTAAGCCACATTTATATTAATAATAGAGTATGCGCTCGATTCGCTTACTCTCTAGTGTGTGAACGTCGAGAATAATTTCGATTTAAAAAAAAAATATGACCACTAAAAGAAGATAGCTTGCATGGTTTTGAAAGCAGTTTCTTATCATTTCTCACAACATTAAAATATTTAGAAAACACTAAGATGAGATGAAACAGCAGTAGTGTTAATTGGTATAAGGGAATATTTTGTATACGTTGAAGGTTGCTCTTTTGGCGTTCCATATAAAACCACTCACAGAATGCGTAGATAGACCATGTTGCTCCAGTAAACGACACTTGACAGTAAACCGCAGAAATTAACATTGAATGCTGCTCTTTTTGTCGTTCCATTTAGGCCTAATACCATACACACGCAATGCGAAAATACACCAATTTGCTCCAGTAAACGACACGTGACAGTCCGTAATAGGCCTATTTTCCCCCTCAATTAAGACGAAATATGGAATTATGTTCAGTTCGTGAGCTGAAGACTTTGATGATCTATGTTGTTATAAGTTCTATACAGACCGGTACGTTTTGAATCCTCGACGTTACCTGACTGAGTGTTGGATTAGCCTACTGTGCCATAGCCTTTGAAATACGCGTAATTGTAATATATATTGGTAGTCTCAAAGGAATTATCATCCGCATGTTTTTTTTTACCATAGAAGCAGAAATATTGTTTTCATTACATCAAACTTTCGATGGTTTTGTTTTTGTATATTTCATTTTTTTTTGTATATTTCAGAGCCTACACAAGCGTTTAAGATGGAGGAAAATGTCGACGAGTCAATTAGTTATTATGAATATCCTGAAAATTATACCGTCCCTAGAAATTTCACAACCGATGATGTTCTAAAAATCATTCCGCTGACAATCATCTTTGTCATTTCTTTAATTGGGAATGTAACGATACTAGTGACATTATTCCGAAATCGGCAGCAGCGGAAATCACGTGTGAATTTATTGATTATGCATTTGTGTATCGCCGATTTATTCGTCACTCTGATCATCATACCGACGGAAGTTATTTACACATGCACGATCGTCTGGCACGGCGGGATGTATGGCTGTAAGATTTTGAAATATTTGTCTAACGTGGCTCTATATAGTAACTCTTTCATCGTCATTGTTATCAGCTTCGATCGTTACGCGGCGATTATTACGCCGTTGAGCGTGCAGAAGGCGGACAAGCGGTGCCGTATCATGCTGCAAATCGCTTGGATTTTGAGCTTTATCTTCAGCTTGCCGAACGTGAGTTTTGATTGGATGATAGTCATTCATTAGATACGCATGACGTACTGTTGTAATGGGGATCTGAAGACACAAACGGGTGAACTTAGTATTGGGGAAGTTGATTGACGGCAGGGACATGGAAGAAAATAGTACAAAAGCAATGATAATTATAATTGATGAATGACGATACTAGTACTAATAATAATAATAATAATAATAATAATGATGATGATGATGATGATGATGATGATGATGATGATGATGATGATGATGATGATGATGATGATGATGATGATGATAATAATAATAATAATAATAATAATAACTGCATAAGTGTTAAAAACAGATAAAATATTTTTTGTCACAGAACATGCATCACAATCATACCTTTTATCTAATTATATGCATACTTAAACATTATATGTATACAAATAAATCAATATATCTCTCACATTAAGATGTCAGAAATAACTACCTTTATTTATCTTTTAATTTGCAGTATTTCATATTTGAAAAGGAAGTGCTCATAATAGACGAATCCTACATGCGATGCGCCAGTAAGAGATTTGCCTTCAATCATCCACAATGGGTCCTTGTCCACCATTTTTCTGCTCTGGTGTTAAGTTATATAATCCCGTTATTAATTATTGTTTCGTGCTATGTAGGAATTGTCGTCAAAATCTACAAGAAAACATTTCAATCTAATCGTAAGTTGCTTTTTTTTTCTTCTTCTCAAAGAT